TTTGCCAAAGACCGTTAAGAGAAGAGCAGTTTCGTAAAAGGACGCCTTAAACGGCCCATGATGGTTAAAAAATATTACAAATGTGTTGATTCATATTTCGTTAAACATTCTTGAGATATTCAGACCGAGATTTAATTTAGATATGTAATTTTCAGAACTTTATTCATAACCCTCAAAGATTTTGTTCGTCTCATGTCAATAATTATGAATGAACATGTGGTGTGGTCTGCCTGTGATGAGACTATAAAAGGACCTGAACTGTATATGGGATCTCGGCATTAGCCTTTTTTCTCTCGACTGAAATCGCGTCCCTAGCTAAGGATTAGCTTTCGAGGAGTGGCACCGGAAGTTTGTTATGGTTTCATTTATTTGGGACGAGAGTTTGGCACGTGATTGGCCACAATTTAGCAAATTACACATGCCCGATAGACGGAACTGCAACCGCTGTCGGTTGGACGCAGACTGACCTACTTAAAAACAAGGTGGGCAGACCCTGCTTGGGATTTAACCTCGCGCTCCTTTTCCCGAAGAAAATCGTCTCTCATAGGGAAGGAAACAACGCCGAGCCCAACTCGGAAGACGGGAGGCTCGATTTCCGCGGTTTCCTAAGATCCGCAGAGCGCTGGCTCATTTTCATGATTAGCGGCTGATGATTGAGCTTGATTCGCCTCTTATGTTCACTTTGGTTTCGCATCAGCGATCAAGAAAGGCTGAGGAAAAATTTAAAAAAGCATGGTCGTTCTTTTAGTTTGAGTTAATTACCTTTGTCGTTACAGTATCTCTCTACCAAGTCATGCCTTTTGAAAACCTCGTTATCTAGCCCCTCAGCTAAGTTTTGAAAACTCGCCCCAGATCCACGCGACTCCTTCCACTTTCTTATCATGGTATATGATTTATCCAACACTTTAGGATTATCTTCGTGAATTTCATCCAAAGTCGCATTTGTTAGGCCTAAAGCCACACCAAGTGGTCTCCAGATTGACTCGATTTCATGAGCCAAACTGAGAAGTTTTTTGTCCTTTGGTTGGCCTGTCTTGAACACTACCTTTCTGCCTGTTTTTGAAAAACAAAAATAATAATAGTGATGATAATCCACGATTCAATCGTATTCATATGTCACGTTTGTCAAAATTTCTTATGTAGGATCTCTCTACCTCTCCTCCCTCCCACGACTACAGGAGCCAGGTTGGGAAGTTCTTTGTCCTCTAGTTGACCTGTCTTGAACACCTCCTCTCTGCCTGTTTTTGCAAAACATAAATTATAATAGTGTAGTGCTTGTTCGTATTGGTTAAATACTTTAGCTATTACATAATCTTTATTCTATTGGTTAACAAACCCTTGACCGCGGTCACGTGATTAAGTCCATTGTTATTCTAATAAAGCAGTTGTGTAAAGCACTTGGTCTGTGCACGCGTTACTCTATGGTAGTATACAACGAACCCTAATACACAACAACTGGCGACGAGGATGGCCACTCTTATGATTGGGTTATATAACCCCAGTTCAGAAGACTGGAACGCATATTGCGAACGTTTCGAGGAATACGTGATCGCGAACGAAATCAAAGAAGAATAAAAGATTGTGGCCACGTTCCTGACCTCGATAGGCAGTAAGACCCACAACATCTTGAGGGATTTGCTAGCCCCGGTGAAGCCATCTAGCGTAAAGTTTACAGATTTAGTTACAACTTTACGAGATCACTATGAGCCAAAGCCGATTGTCATCGCAAAACGCTTTCACTTCCACAAACGCGAACAGCTCGAGGGGGAAGGTGTGGCTGCGTACAGTGCAGCCCTAAAAAAGTGTTCAGAACACTGTGCCTTCGGCGCATTTTTAGAGGAAGCCCTTAGAAACCGATTCGTCTGTGGCCTGAGAAGCAGACAATTCAGAAAAGAGTCATAGCAGAAAAAAATCTCACGTGGAAAACAGCGGTAGAAATGGCCTCGGCAATAGAAGTTGCTGATAACTTCAGGAATTTGCCCGCAGATAGTGGCATACACTTTGTTAAATCATCGCATCCGCTAAAAGCAATAAAGCCAAAGAGACCGTGTTTCCGCTGCTGCGGCGAGGACCACATCCCGCAAAAATATCGATTTAAAAAAGAATTATGTCGGAACTGTAAATCAGGTGTTTGCCCGTGGATTACGTCCTAATCAAGATGGGAGAAGACGACCAGTCCGGTACGTGGAAGACGATGTCAGATTCTTCGTACTCTATTCAACGCGGACTCGCATGAACTGTGAGGTTATTTTTTCTTTTGTTACGCAGTGTTTTGTTTGTACGGCTAGTGTTGACCTTTGATCTGAGCGATTGACATTTGAAACTAATTTATGCATATTTACATGATCTGTGCAGTTTCGACAGTATAGATGGAACATAATTCGCTATCGACATTAATTAGGTGAGGTTGTAAAATAGGCACGAATTTTTATTACGACTTGAAGTTTATTAAAGACGACACCCATCCCAAAGAGCCAAACGACGACTTCAAATTGTTTCACATTCATAACGTAAAACCTGAACCATCCATCATGGTTCCTGTAAAGGTGAATGGTAAAAACGTTTCGATGGAGTTGGACACTGGTGCGTCAGTTTCAATCATGTCGGAGGAGGCGTGGAGAAGGCGGTTCCCGAAGTTCCATTAGGAGTCCCAAATTATGTTGAAAACTTACACAGGAGAAGCCCTCGAAATTATTGGACATGCACTGGTGGAAGTAACCTATCAAGATCAGACCACCAAGTTACCGCTCCAAATTCTCAAGGGGAACGGACTAAACCTATTTGGAAGGAACTGGCTAAAGAACACTAGGTTAAATCGGGGATCCACTAAGAAGATCAGCTGTGATTTAGACAGCGTGTTATCTAGACATCAATCAGTATTTAAGGATGAGTTAGGTACTATGCAAGGCGTTCGGGCTAAATTTTTCGTCCAGCCCGAATCAAAACCGGAGTTTTTAAACCACGCCAAGTTCCGTATGCTTTAAAAGAAGCTATTGAGCAAGAATTAGATCGCTTAGAAAACATGGAAGTAATCGAAAAGGTGCGCTACTCAAAGTGGGCGGCTTGTCGTCAAACCGGATAATTCGATTAGAGTTTGTGGCGATTATAAAATCACTGTCAATTGGCTAGTGATAAAACCTGAATAGCGACCGAATAGTGCGAATAGTCGCGAATAGTGACGAATAGAGGCTAATAGTCGAGAATAATCGCGAATAGTCTCGAAAAGAAAATACCCTGAAAAAAAACGAGTCCATCATGGATCTCCCAGCAGACAAAGGGCGCGATAGCGTGGTCATGGATACCGATACCTACCGAGCTAAGATGTCTACGCTTATTGAGAACGGACCGTACCAGCTCCTCGACAAAGATCCGACAGACAGTATGACCCGCAAGTTATCGGAAAAGCTGCTTACCTTGAAGCGAAGCGGATATCTATCAGAGGCCGTTTACAACAAGATCATACCCCGACACAAACAGCCGCCTAGAATCTACGGTTTATCGAAGATCCATAAGGTCGATGTACCGCTAAGACCTATTGTGTCGTGCGTTAACAACTTTGCATATGATTAATCCGCTTACTTAGCCAACATCTTGTCTCCTTTAACAGGGAAGTCAGAGCACACGGTGACCAACTCAGCCCACTTCGTATCCACCGTCAGCAATGAGACGATCCTGGACAACGAGATCATGGTTCGACGTAGAATCGCTGTTTGCCAACGTTCCTATCGACACCGCTGTACAAGCCGCACTACAGAAACTCGAGAACGACCCAAGCCTTGCAGACCGTACCACGCTAACGCCTGCACAGATCGCCGACCTTTTGACCTTCGTATCGAGATCCACAAATTTCCAGTATAACGGATCGATTTACGTGCAAAAAGACGGCGCCGCCATGGGAAGTCCGGTTTCCACTGTTATTGCTAACCTCTACACGGAGAGTTTCGAAGAACAGGCGATAACTACATCATCCTACGAGCCTAGGATCTGGAAACGCTACGTACCCTTACCATTCTAGATCGCGAAAACGTGGATGACTTCTAACAGCATCTAAACAACCAGCAGCCTTCCATCTGCTTCATCATAGAGACAGAGAAAGACAACAAACTCGCCTTCCTAGACACCGCAGTTTAAAGAGAACCTGACGGCCGCCTCACAACCAGCGTATACAGGAGGCCCACGCACACCGATCAATACTTGGTGTATGATTCACACCACCCTCAATCAGTAAAACGCGGTATTGCTAAGTGCCTTTACGAGCGAGCCAAACGTCTCGTAACAAAACCCTCCGTCATCTCCGAGGAGAAAAAGCATCTGTCATCTGTTCTGGTTTCTAATGGTTATCCTTTTTCTTTCTTGCAGAAACTTACCGGAAAACCAAACAACAGTGCCGAACCCGCCCACGAGTTCAAAGCTACCGCGGTTTTACCTTACGTCAGAGGTCTGTCAGATCAGCAGGTAATTCAATCTTAACAACTGGTTTGAAAACGTAAATCAGCCACCGTAAAGGGTAAAAAGCTGACGTTTCGTGCGTTAGCCCTTCGTCAGAGCGATTGGAGGAATTGTGGGTTTATATGCAGAAAGCGGAGCTGCGCCATTGGTGGGAATATGGTGACGACAAAACAGGACTAAATTAGTTGGATGAAAAGCGCTCGTTGATTCCGTGGGGATTAAGGGTGCCAATTTGGAAGATAAGTTTTTGTTCTAGTGTTTTGCGGCTTTCCGAACTATCTAAATTTAAGGAAAGGCCGCAAACTGCCATATGCTGTTTAGAATGATTAGGGAGATTAAAGTGTCTAGCGACTGGTTTGGATGCGTCCTTGTCATTTCTTTCCACGTCGCGAAGGTGTTTTCGGAATCGGTCACCTAGTCGTCTTCCTGTTTCGCCGATGCGTAACTTATTGCAATAAGTGCAAGTTATGCAGTAAATAACATTGGCGCAGGTACACGTAAAGTGATCAGTGATCTTAATGGATCTCTTGGTTTCCGATATTTTCTCTACGTTATGAATGAAAGAACATGGACCCTGATGGACTTTCGATATTTGATGGATCAACATTATCATCTCTATTGATGTTTCCCTGGAGTGCTGTACCAGTTGCATTCATGGCAAGTAAATCTGAGGAAAAAACAGTTGATAAATTAAATAAACACTAAAATACCATTATATCATATGTAACTGCAAAGTGCAATATCACCTAATTTTTTACATCTGGCAACAGTGTTTAATGCTACTCTTAGCTTCATTGAGGCTAAACTATACAAGTTTAGAAACAGGACCCACCATTTGTTAAATAAATATTTTAAACTCTTTAACTCATAAGAGTGACAAGCATCTAATTTCTCCTCAAAATATTACCACAGAATCAAATTAAAACATTAAGGTTCACAAACTGAGAATGCTCTTAATTGTTAAGAAAATGCTTCTTGTCAGCACCTTAGGAAACTTATAGAGAACAGTAGGGAGAATATGCATACTGATGGTAGAGTATAAAGGGTTAAATGAATGATCAAATGATAAAGCCCTGATCTAATGATTTCCCAAAACAAGCCCAAATGTGAAATCCCTTTTACCATCAGAGACATCCATAAGTTCCTCAAAGCCTGTGTCGCTTGTGTCAGGAGATGTGCCAACATCAGGAGACACTTGCAGATCCCCATCAGCCTTAGTTACCTGTGTTAAAAAAAAAGAGACATTTCAATATAGGCAAAAAGTGTTTAAACTGATACCATGACAATATTGAAACATTGTGCCTTTTCTATGTACTATTAGATGATTTCAGTATTACCATGTACCGTATTTACCCGTGTATAATGCGCGCTTTTTTTTCCATAAAAACAAGCATCAAAATCGCGGTGCGTATTATACACGGATTCTATTGTTTGTCAAGCACGTCCTAATTTGCATACGTTAAAAACGCAACAAAGAAAGTAAAAGTGCACGGATCGGTGGCCTGGGGAGGAGAAAGAGCTTGCTTGTTTACGACTCATTTGAAGCTCACGTGACAGATACTGTGAACACTTCCTTCAAACGCGAACTTCCCTTCTCCAGTCGCTCGATGTATCTTTGAACAAACCATTTAGAGATGGAGTCCGAAAGGAGTGGATGGCTGATGGAATTCACGAACTTACTGGACTACAAAAAAAGGCTTCGGAGGAACTGATCTGTTCGTATATTTCACAAGCGTAGGAAGGCATTCCATCAGAAATGATCGCTGCCTCTCTCTGAAGTGTGGGATCACAAACAATTCGAATGGATCACAAGATGAATTGGTTTACAATTCAACTGAGATCACTGATGAACTTGAGGATTCAGTCATCGAAAACCTATTCGAATCGGACTGTGAGTCGGTTTAAAGACACTGAACATTTTACTTAAATCACGCAATTGCAATGCAGTAATTATATTCAAGCTACCAGCAGTACTGTGAGTAGAAATAATGTTTATGAACGGCTGTTATGATAATAATTCAAGTTGTGAATTTAGGTATATTAGTAAGGACTTCAAGTTACAACATTTATAAAACGTTTGACTGTTACTGAATTGAAAAGCTTGTAAATAGGTGCTCGGTGCGTTCGATATTTGTAGTAGCAACTAGTTAGAAATTGTTGTAAACATATTATTGATGAATTCCCAGCTCTTGTTAATTAAGTGAAAAAATGAAAGTTTTAATTCTTGGTATTTGTCATGAAATCTTTTTTTTCGGAAAAAAAAGGTCAAAAATTAGGGTGCGTATTATACACAGGCGCGCATTATACACGGGTAAATACGGTACTAGTCTAAAATAAAGCCATAGACCCAATGGCAAACTCTTGTTTTTCCAATTTTTTTGTTTCCAAGAACTGTATGCATTGTGAAGAACAGGGCTTTGCAGAAATTTTGCAGGAAATAATTAAATAAACAAAAAAACTGCTCCATCTCTGTCTAAGGCCGTGAGATAAATGATAGTTGTGATAACTTCTAGACACAGGTATCCATTTCAGGGGATACCTTTATCTAAAAACTGAGCACAAGTTTTGAGAAAACTAGGTTGCAAACATCTGTCCTAAAATGATTTAACTTCTCCAAGGGGTTTGTATCATAGACTTCTGAAGATGTGCTGCTTGTCTCATGATTATTATCAACTGAAAGTTTCATTGTAGATCCAAACATTGACTGAAACACTTTAGGTGGCACCTGGAACTGTCCCTCTATAACTTCATCCTTGTCATTGACAGACATGTGGTTCAAAATACAGAACCTTATTAAGATAATTACTGAATTAACAGCAAATGCTGACCTGAAAATGGTGATTGAGCGAGAATTTTCTTGGCATGTAAAACAGTGCAAATTAATGCTGATTGGAAATGTTAGGCAAACAAATAAAATTCAGAAGAGGTTAAAGCATTTTGATATGAAAACTTCGAAAGGGAAAGAGGACTATAATAATTACTGAATTCTAAGGGTAGATGGGGGTTAAAATAATCGATATCGACTATGGTGGGGTTTGTGTATTGAACATTATACACCCAGAGGACAGTAGTTGTAAAACTACAACACCATTTTTCCCCATGGATACTTTGGACAGTTGTCATCCACAACATCTGTTCATATGATAAGGATTTACAAACCTGTCAGCAGTTTTTCACAGAGGGCATAGAAAAACTCTCATGTAAATATGAACGGAACTCAGTAAGACCACAAAAAATATTTATTTTGGCAGTACCCAACAGACAGATAATCTAGGAGAATTTACTCAAAACATATACTACTTAACCCTTTAACCCCCAAAAGTGCTTATCATGTAACTTCTCCCAATGATATCTGTTCACTGTTTAGCAAACAGGTAATGAGAATACTCAAACTAATCAGATCAAAGTTGCTATCTTAATCTAACACCAAATTCTTGTAACTTATCTACAAAGAAATGAGTAGCAGCTATAGGGGAGAATTAACAATTGGATCTTGGGAGTTGAAAGGTTAACAACAGAGGTTGTAAAGATTTCTTCATTGCTGCTGTCTGGAAATGTTTATAGGCAGACTAATAACAATTCAAAGGGGACTGAACAATTTAAACCAAGGTGTTAAACTTCAAAATAATGTCTGAAATATACTTAAAACGTGATAATTCACTGGAGGTCCACTACAAATTACCTGATCATCGGGAAGTTCTTCACTTGATCCAAAAAGTGAATGAAACACTTGGGAAGGCATTTGAAACTCTCTCTCTATAACTTTGTTATTTTCACTAAACTTTCGGCATTTTTTGTACTCTTTTGCTCCGTCATCTTGATAGCAACGAAGAAGAAGAGCCTCTCTAAAGCTGTTGCTTGCCCTACTTCGATCGATGCTTGTGTCAAACCCGGGGTTCTTCTTAGCTCTGTACTCAATATATCGTTCTACAGCAGCCTCCCAATTGATACGGAACCGACCCTCCTGATTGACAAACCATGCACACTCCTCTTTTAAGATCAATTCTCGGAGGAAGTGATACACTTTATTCTTGTTCCCTAGGCGAATATAACGCATTGATCATTAATGTTTTAATTCGAAAAGTTCTTGTTAGAGAGACAGGGGGTTAGACGTAAACAGAAGACTGTGTAAAGTTGATGTTTTCATCTTTTGGTACCTTCTTAAGTAAAGTGGGCTTGGATAAGAAAGAAATGAACCATAGGAAATAAAAATTCCCGTCCTGATTCAATCAAGGTATAGAGGAACAAACACAAGAGAGTCTCTTTTTCTGGGCGACACAAATGTTCGTAGAATTCGATGTCAGTTTGTTAAATTGCTTACCTTCCCCAAAATTCGCTGCTAGTTTCGACATGTCAGTTGTGAAGGTATCTTGCTTGAGTGTTATCCCAACTGCATTAAAAATCAACACCACTACAAATGCATGATACTTCCTTGTACTAGGCGAGGAAGTGCATCCGTTCAAGTGGTTTCTAGGTTGTGATTGGTTAAAAAATTTCGATACTCCCTTCTGATTGGCAGAGCGTTTTGGTCCCGGTTGGAAAGATCCAACTTGAGCACTGCTCGCATTGGATGCATCCAACGTGGACATTATTTATCTTGGGTGATTAATTATTAACAACTGAGTTGCTAACGTGGAGAGGCCACCGTAAAGAGTTCCAAAGCTGACGTTTCGAGCGTTAGCCATTCGCCCTGACGAAGGGGTAACGCTCGAAACGTCAGCTTTGAAACTCCTTACGGTGGTCACTTTACGTTGTCAACTCAGTGTCTTTAGTAACTTAACTCCTTTATTCATTATTCATCTTGACTACTTCCAAGAACTAAAACGTTGTTTTTTGTTTTGTTTTGTTTTTTTCTTTGTTGTTTTTTTTTTACCGCGAACTTATGTGGCAAGAATGATAAGCATTTTTCCCTTTTCAAGGTTGTCTTGCACGAGCGTTACGAAGGCCAATTGACGATATCTGTCACGCATTGCGTAACGAGTGATGAAAATACTTTTTTTTTTTCGCGTGACTCTTGTTCTTCTACGCGCCGCTGATTAAAACACGCCGCTTTCTCCTCGAGCTGGCTTAATTCTGACTGAATTTTTCTGCGAATAAAATTCTAATTTTACGCAGCCGTGAAGCTTGACTTATTGGTTTTGTATTTTTTCTGGCGGTACTTGGTAAGACAACATTTTAGATACAAAAAACATTTCAATTCCGAAGCAACAATCGATCTTTTAGTCTTATTGACCTAATCTACGGGAGAGGTTTGTTCGTCAACCCTTTAACTCGCAAGATTTGATTTTTAATTCTCCTCTCGAGCTGTTACAAGGATCTGGTGTTAGATCAAGATAACAACTTCCTGATAAGTTTGAATATTCTTATTACCGTTTACTGGATAATTTGCGGGCATCAGAGAGAGAATTTTCACCTTTTTGTATTTGAAGGGATTAAATGATGATTGTCATAGACAACGACAGACGTTCCAAAAACAAGAACGGACGTTATACTCTCAATTCTTACCGAATTTTTTCTCTTCAGTTCGGCTACTACCACTCCAGAATTAATGAAAACTCGCCGTAATGAAGAAAAATTGTGATCGTCGTGACTGAGATGACGTGACATCACGTAAACCATCAATAAAACGTTAGAACTTCTCTCGTAATGATGCGTTCACGATTATTGTAATCCACAGAAGAACGCCTGGAAATGCAGACGGAACCGTCTGTATGTGACACATTTTTCGTGTTCCTTTCGAAAGCCTCCTTTTCCTGTTGTCCACACAAGGAAATGAAGCGTTTTAAAACGAAGCGTCCACTAAAGACCGCGTTTTCTCCTGGCAGTGTTTTTGGGCGTTTGAGTGCGCATGATAGGCAAACACGGTGATACAAACAAACGCGCAAATCTGACTCGAGGATTTCCTTTAATTTTTAACAATTCTGAAAAACAAAGATAACAACAATTTGGTATAATTTGCGACGACATATCGATCATATTTGAGACAAAGACTAAATTAAATTCACCAAAATAGAATAGGCACTAAGACAGAAATCGACAGTTTGAAATTGAAAGGAAAGTAAAATACAACTGATAGTAAACTATTGTACCTGAAGAGTAGATCCTCGTGCAGAAAATAGAGTTAAACCTTATGTGTAAGCTAACCGCGTGTCGATTCGAAAAAGTAGAGAACAAGCTCTGTAAGTCAAATGCGAGCGCGTTTGATCTGAAGTCTTGTTAAATCGTTAAACAATTTGTGGAAAAGTATAAATCAGTTGACAAGAAGTCATCCAAAATAAAGGTATCAAAAAATATCTCGCTGTTTTCGAACGAAAACATTTGTTGTGGGCCCTTGTCTTCAAGCTCTCTTTTAGCTCTTTGAATTTCGGGAAAATATCGTTTTAGTTTCATGCTTTTGGTTTCATCAGTCATTGCATCAAGACAACAAATACCACATTTTCAGTTCTCCAAAAATATAAATTTAACTGTCCGTACCCCAACAATTATTCTACAAAGCTACCGCCTCATTGTTACATTTGATTAAATCATGTAAAAATATCCGAGAAAGTGCGAGGTTAAACATTGTTTACTCGAATTTATGTAATTCCGCCCAGTTTCATTCTATCTGTAATCAATTCGCTGTATTTATAAGTATTTTGCAAGTTGTGTTGTATTTCGACGAGTATGGAGAGTATTTCATTCTTCCTCACCCAGAAATAATGAACAGTCAACTTCCCCTTGCAACATCGGTACATTATTCAGCAAACTGGTAACGAGAAAAAAAGACTTAATCAGCTTCAGAGTGTCGTATTGATATAACACCAGATTTACCGAGATGCGCCTCTGGTGAGTGCTTTGCATTGGCTGCAGCTCAAGCCGTTTTGGAGTTCTGTATGTCACGACGGTTGACTGACAAATGATCCAGGGGTACCTAAGGCACCTCTCCTTTTATAGCACGCCCTCGTGTTTAATTGTTTTAGTTCGGAAGAAAGTATGCAGCAGTTGAAATAGCGAATTTTGAGCACTATATGAGTACAATGAAGGAATTTGAGACACATTCAGAAGATATCTGAATCCACCTTCTATCCCCTCGTCTTGTACTTTTCTGAATTTGTCGGAGATTTTTTTCAGCTAAATAACGAAAATTATTTCAGTTTACTTTTCTCTTTAGGGATGTTTTATTTATAACAAGATGTTAAGGATATCGAACAAAAGAACAGCCTTTTTTTTATTAGATCAATTGTCAATTACTTTAATTTGTGTGCCTAGTTACGATCGTAGTTACAATGTTTATCTTTTCCCTATTGGTTTGAAATCGGATATTTTAGCGTCACCACGCGCATATAAAAGTTAAATTAGCGTCCCTATAAGCCAGAGTTTCGTAAGATTTCACCTTGAACAGCAATGACTTCGTCTTTCGTTCCAAACCTTTGGCACAAGCGGGACCGATATTTTACGATCGTGATCGTGACCGTGATTTAAATAAACACTGTTGATAGTCATCTTGGCTTTCGTGGTTTCATTACGACCGGTAAAATAGTCCCCACATCAGCGACACTTAGAAAACACGCATAGCGACACCCCTCGAAGTTTCCTCTTTCGTCGCAAGCGTCACACAAGATAACATTGCTTTTTTGTGATTTTTGATCGGAGAGGTGTTCAAGAAAATCAGATTTAAACACTTCGAACAACACTTCGTGGAGAATTTCGAATAGAGGGAATTTAGCATTTTTAGCCAAGCAAAAGCAGCCACATTTCTGTAATGTGAAAACTAGTTCAAAAGCTAAGCTGAGTTAATAATTACGTTGCCTTGCACGTGTATGATTAGTAGCTCTCAGGCTTTTGATCGTTGAAATACTGATCCGGGTCTGAATCTAAGAAAACCACATATGAAAAGAAACAAGTTATTTAGATCTCTTGATAAAAACTAATGCATGGGCGGGCGCAGATTTGGAATTTTTCATCGAGCGTTCATTGCGATATCTCCGCAAGTGAGCGGACAAGTGAGATATCAAATTGAACATGAGAAGAGAAATTCCATATCTAAAAGCCACCAATTATCATTTTGTTTAACATATTAACACCAAAGGCCTTTGCTGAAAAGAAAAGTCGATTATATTAATGAATAAAATGCGTGAAAGTCAAGTGACGTGTCAGCAGTTGTTTGGCGATATCAAACTCGCGTGAACAGTGATCATCATTTTTCGAATGTGCAGTTACAATGTGCAGGCTGGAAATCATTGTAAAACACAGCAGTTTAAATGACCAAAAATTTCGGTTAACGAGCTTATCTTAAGCACTCTTTGAGGTGGTTAAACGCGAACAACAAATACTTTTTCTAAATCTCTGTTATCAAGCTTATCAGTGCCTTAAAATCTTCATAATTTTCGTCTATGTGATTATGAAGAGTAGTCTAAGTCATACATTGAATGTCGGATAATTTTCCTTTTTCAATTGCAGAAATAAATATTTCCTCAAAAATACGATATGGAAAATAATCATAACTTGAAAGCAAAGAATAGTAGACTCGAGAAGGAAATTTACAAAAAACAAATTGTAAATTTGTAAAACAATTGTAAAAGCAATTGAGGAGAAAAGTTGGAGAAATGTTTAATTTGGTCACAGGGAAGTAGAAGGGGAAAATTACGGAAACTTAGGAACTGTCTAGCAATCACATGGTGACTACTATAATGCGAAAGGATGTCATGAGAAGGTGCTTACCGTAGCCATGGAAAGTGCTAAGAAGGCAATAGAGTGAAAGGTTACGAAAACCTAGGAATTGTGTCGCAATTTCTCGATGAATATCACAAGCTGAAGAATGTCATGAGAAAGCACTTGCCATCGCATCAGAAATTAGTGACAGTGCGGGGGCAGCAGAGACGCACACTAACCTAGGAGCTCCGTCGCAATTACTTGATGAAGATCACAAGGCTAAAGAGTATCATGAGAGAGCACTTTCCGTCACAATGGAAACTGGTGATTGAGAAACAGAAGCGATATTGCATTGTGCTGGTACCGTGACGTCATAATCTTTATCGTATTACAGTATAAGTAACTCGATTAGTAAACGATTAGTTGAATTGGTGGACGCACGTGTTTAGATATTCGCCTGAGGACTAGAGTCACAAATGTTTGTACGTAAATTCACTTTAAATTGTTTCGCTTTTCAATATCCTGTTACGTCTCTAAGTAAATCGAATCAGTCAGCGTTTTGTGATTTATTTTCAGTTGACCTTTAGCTTTATAAGGAACATAAGTGAATAAAGTAAAAGAATGCGACAACGAGCGTTTATTGAGTATATTCAAAGCATTCATAGTCAACAACAAGGCTTATTGAATTTTTGAAGAAGGCCAAGGATTGTATTGAGAAAGCACTCGCTATCAGCAATGAAATCGGTGATAAACTAACAG